ATTCAAGCAAATCACACTTACCTTCATGAATAGGTCAAGATCTTCATCAGGTTATATTCTTGCCATCTTTTTTCTTCTTGAAAGTTCCAATAGCATATCTGTAAAGGTAATGTAAGAAAACTGGAAGACTTGCATAGAGCTTTACCATATTTTGATCCAACACCCTGACAACATGCTGAGAAGTCCATAGTTTCCCTTACAGTATCTCTGTTATATGCCAATCTTGTTGACTGACATAAGCGGATGACGTTTGGGGAACAAACTCTTTCAGACTATGTCCATTGTAAGTAATATTCCCTGATGTCTTCAAATTTATCAACGTTTTAGTAGAATATTGAGAAAAAAAAAAAGATTACTATCTAGCAGAACATGTTTTTTCTCTACCTCCAAATCATGAAAATTCAGATATGACTGTACCTGCAAGTCAGATTTGAGGTGTCCAGCAAGTGCTAATAACAATGTGGTTTTGCCAGCTTGGAGGACCCAATAAGAGCGTTAATCTAGAAGTGAACACCATAATGTTTTAAATAAACATACTCTCACCAGCTTGGCTTTCTTGGGAGTTAACGATTGATTCATACCTGGAAGGTCGGATTATTCCACTAATGTCATCTAAAATTGTCAGCTTTGTTCTCTTGCTAGAGTATATTTTGAGCTGCCTTAAGAAAGCTTGACATGTTTGCACATAATACAGAGAGAGGAGAGATGTCATATGCTAAAATGATCTCTAATGTAATAATTGATGGCATGGGGAATACCTCGGTCATGTTGAAAATAAAATTTGAAATGGTTGGCAGTGCTTGACTGCCAAGATGCACATAAGCTTCAACTGTCAGATGCTGAAATCTGACTTCTACTTTTGGGAAGTCCAAATCAACTCTGCACTCAGAGACGGAGGAATTTTTTTAACTGTATGGGTTATGAGTTCTAGAACAATGACTTAAGGTGCTAATGACTGTGTTCTAACTTTATGGGTTTGAGAAGTTTTCCTAGTATCTCAGCAAATTCATTGGATAGCGTCTACAAGTGTTTAGGAGTTATGGCTTTATCCTAATTGTTGTATAATATCTTAACAACCAACTCTTCTTCACCTATTTCCATGCTTCCACAAGAAGTAAAAAAAATATTTAAATTGCAAAGATGCATTTTCATATGACTATTTATTTAGTAAGTTGCACATCAAATGAATGCAGATACTCACCCTATATCCACTCAACTGATCCTCAAGTTTGGGTGAAAATTGTGCCTCACAAACTCATTTGCTCTGCTGCAAATATTCACATAGATATTAACCACTCAACTGTGAACAATACCTACTCTAATAGAAAAAATTTATTAGTATAATTTTTTTGTGTGCATATAATTGTAAACTGTGCACAACCAAAAAAGCCATTTAAGATCCCTAATATGCAAATGGAGGTAATGAAGAATAAATAATATACAAGAAATTATAGGGAAAAAAGCTTGTCCGGACTTAGTATTACAGAAATCAAGATTGAACAAATATAGGATGGTTGGTTAGAGTGGGGAAGGATTGGGAGAGATGATGCCGATAGCTTTTGGGGAAAATCCTCTTAAGTCTATTTTTTTTTTAGGTCTTTAAGCGAACTGAGAGAGGCGTAACTTTAGGTCTTTAAGAGAATCTTTTTCTTCTGTTTTTCGTTTCTTTTTTATTTGTAACTTTTCCCTTAACTTTTTATATATTTGTACACGAGTACCTACACAATATTATGTAATAAACTAAAAACAAAACTAATGTAGTAATAATAAAATTTTACTAGCAAAACAACAAATAAATAAAATGGGAAATTGTTTATATAATTTTTGAATTTAGATCGTAGAAAAAAATTAAATTGCAATAAAATATTTATTTAAAGTATAAATAGAATATATATTTTTAGAATTAGTTACTATATTTTATACATCAATAAGGAATCGTTTGTTTGAAGATAAGTTATGATGGGATAAATTATGCGGGGATTATTTTATCCTAGTATTATTTCTTATTGATTGTTTGGTATATTGTATTAATTTTAGAATTGTTAATTTTACTGCTTTATCCTGGGATAATTTATCTTGGGTTACAAGATTATAGTTGTTTAAATTCTATATAATTTTTTTATTCACACATTATATGTAAATAGTTTCATTATTTTTTAGTTATAATTGGAACTTACAATTTATATTTATTTAATAAAATTATAATTAATTTGCTTGAGCCGAGGGTCTTTCGGAAACAACCTCTCAATCCCTCCAAGGTAGGGGTAAGATCTACGTACACTCTACCCTCCCCAAACCCCACTTGTGAAATTTTACTGTGTTATTGTTGTTGTTGTTGGTGTTGTTGCTGTTGTTGTTGTTGTTGTTGTTGTTGCTGCTGCTATGGACTTAGATATCAACCATATTAGATTCATAATACTTAATGTAATCCAATATATGAAAATATATAAAAATGTAACAAACTATTTCCACTTTGTTTATATATCTTGAAGCAAAAATATTCATAGAAGATGTTATTTCAATAATTTAATGTGGCTAAAAATTTACTACTGTTTTAGTTTGTTTTAACTTGTGAAAAAAATTAGTGGTTAGCTATAAAATCATAGCAATAAAATTGTAGATGTATCATTTCTCATGAAAAACAATTATATCTATTTAGCTAACAATTACCATAATTTTTAAAACTTGAAGAAAACTAAATTAGGACAAATACAAAATTGACCATTGGGCAAAACTAATTGCCTTCTCTAGCTAAATATATAAAATATGTGTATTATATGTATAAGATACAGATACATACAAAAGAGATATATTTTATCGATTATTATTTTTGGGAGCGACTAAAATAATACGTTTCTCATAATATTTATTTAGATAAAACATTTGATTTCAAATAAATTTATTATGGCAACAAGGTTACTTGCGGCGCAGTAAACTTCAATCGTGGCAAAAACATATGATTAGCTACAAAAAATTTTATAGTAACAAATTCGTGACTATATCATTTGATTATGACTACAAAGTGCAACTATTAAGCCAACTATTGCCACATATTTATAACTTGAAGCAAAAGTATTTATTTAGCTATAATATTTTATTTTAAATAATTTATATGGCTAGAAGGTTGCTTTTGCTAGAGTAAGTTTCAACTCGTGGCCAAAATATATGGCCAAAAGATATGACTAGTTACGAAATATTATCATAGCAATAAATTATAGCTAGTAAGCCGACTATTGCCATGTGTTTTTAATTTATAATTTGAAATAAAAATATTTATTTAGTTATAACATTTTGTTTCAAATAGTTTACCGGGCAAAACAGTTACTTTTGCTAGAGTAAGCTTCAACTCGTGGCAAAAACATATGTTTAGCTATGAAATTTTATCATATAAATAAATCTGTGGCTATATCATTTCGCCCATGATAACTAATTGCTGTTGTTAAGCCAATTATTATCACAATCTTTTATAACTTGAAGAAAAAAATATTTATTTAGCTATAATATTTAGGTTTGAATAATTTATCGTGGCTAAAAGACTACTATTGCTACAGAATTTTAACGTGTTGCAAAAAGCTTATGATTAGCTACAAAAATCTATCGTAGCAATATATTTGTCGCTATTTAGATAATTATTTCCACGATAGTTAGCAATCATAGCAAAAATAAGGAATTAGCTTTGCTAATTTAATTTTCGTAGCTATGGATTTCAAGGATTTTATAAATACCTATGAAGTTTTTTATTTTTGTGGCTATTGTTAGGTATTAGTCACGATTTTTGAATCTGTAGTTGAGATTTCGTAGCCATAGATATATTATGTTGTAGTGTTTGTGTGTTATAGCCCATACTATTTGCATGAATTCGGGCGACTGACTTCGGATCTCCTAAACTTTTGCGGGACTATAAAAATGACCTAATGAACAACAATCATTGCTTCGCCATGACCATTCCTTATTTTTTGGTATTTTAGAGCCATATAACATAAATTCAGGATGATGCTGAGATTTTCGTATGCTATAATACAAACCATTTGCATGAATTCGGCCGACCGGCCCCGAATCTCCTAAAATTTTGTGAGCCTATAAAAATGACCTAATGAACCATAGTCGTTGCTTCACCTTGACCGTTCCGTTTTTTGGAATTTTGAAGGCCATAAAACATGAATTCAGGACAATTTCTACTTTTTCGTGTGCTAATGTCCACATCATTTTCATGAATTTGGGTGACGGGTTCCGAATCGCCTAAAATTTTGTGATCCCATTAGAAATGACCTAATGAACACCAGTCATCGCTCTGTCGTGACCGTTACTCGTTTCTGGCATTTTAGGGTCATATAACAGGAATTCGAGACGATGTCGAGATTTTCATGTGCTATAGTATACACCATCTGCATGAATTTGGGCAACCGGCCTTGTATCTCCTAAAATTTTGTGAGCTCATAAAAACGACCTAATGAATACAATATTCATTGCCTCGCCTTGACCGTTCCTTATTTTTTGGCGTTTTAGGGTCATAAAATAGTTCAGGACGATTTTACTTTTTAGTGCGCTCGCCATCTTCATGAATTCGGGCGACGGGCTCCAAATCGCTTAAAATTTTGTGGGCACATCAGAAATGACCCAAGGAACAATAGTCATTGCTTCGCCGTGACCGTTCCTTATTTTTGTCATTTTAGTGTCAGAAAGCAAGAATTCAAGACGATTTTCAATTTTCGTGTGCTAATGTCCACGCCATCTTCATGAATTCAGACGAAGGACTCTGAATCGCCCAAAATTTTGTTAGCCCATAAGAAACGACATAATGAACAATAGCCATTACTTCGCTGTGATTTTCCTCGCTTTCTAGTATTTCAGGACCATAAAATAGAAATACAGGATGATTTCCTTTTTTTTTCCGTGTGCTTATGTCCATGATCTTCATGAACTCGAGGGGATGCACGCTCAGAATGACCTAAAACGATTTACATACATATAGTATCACTAATGGAGTTACACGGTGATAATTCTCTCTCACGCACACACATAAGTTACTTAGAATTAAGCTTAATTATACAAAATTGTACATGGTACGTAACATGGCTATACAACTCAATGTGTGACTGAAGCGCCATCACAAGGAATTAAATTGTGTACAATTGAATCAACCTTTTATCTCTTGTTGTTCTTTTTGTGCCCCAAAAAAAGATGAGACATTCTTATAACAATCTCTTCTTCTTGTGAAATTTATTAGTGCATCCTGCTTTTGAAGCTTTAGAGGTAATTAACTGGATCCCTTGGGTCGTGTAAATGCGTGTGCCATCTCCAATAGATGTTAGTTTGATTGATCTTGCATGTGTAAAAGAATGGCGACGACAAAAGGAGTCCTTTGGCAAATGAAGAACATGAATCTTGCATGAATTTTCCAAATTAGGAATAGAATGGAGATGAGAAGGGAGATCTATTAGGAACTTTCCACTTTCATTTGTTATATTTTTGGACCATAACGATCCCCTCACCTTCCCCTCACTAGTTCCACAAAAGACAGCCACATTTGCTCCTGCTCCATAATATATAGAAATTACAATTCAAATAAAAGCAGGGGCATACGCAGGATTTTTGGTAACCGATGTCAAAATTTGAAAATATAAATGAATGAATGAATCATTATAACGAAAAGCGGTGTCATTTCTTACATTTATACACAAAATTTTCAATTTGTATGCTATTTATATATATATATTTAATAAAAAATTTGACGAAGCGGTGTCACGTGACACCGCTTGCCGCATACTATATCCGCCCCTAATTAAAAGGAATAGCTAGCTAGGTTATCAGTCAACTATATATATTATATTCATGCAAAAATTTACTATACTAGTAGATATTTCAAGTCATGAGATGGATAATTTTAGTAAGAAATTAAAGTGTCGAGCGTATTAAATGATGGTTCCTTTCTTAACGACTAGGTTGTAGTAACCATCTCCTAACCCACAATGGCAGTACAGAATAGCAATTTTTTAATCATTAATTAGTCAAGGATTCAAAGCTCGTAACAAGAGGAATATGGATGATCCAACCAATAATCTAACTTGATTAATAGATGATCAGTGAAGCAAAGCAATGTAAACAATATGCTTTAGCAAATAGATTTAATTTATATATATACACTAACAATATAAGATTCTCATACCATATTACTATATATTTACGAGTTGAGACAAGATACTGATCACTATATTTTGCGGGTAACCAATCATGGTTGCTATAGAAGACAATGGCGGAACTAAGTAGAATGAATGAGGTTCAACCGAATCCCTTTTGTAACAAAATTATATTGTGCAATATAATAAAAATAATTTCCTTTTTATTATATACAAGGGGATTCAAAAAAATTCTAGAATATCACAGTTGAGATTTAAACCTATAACCTAAAACAACTTTTGAACCCCTTCACTACAATACATGAACTTTTCTTCATGTCAAGGGAATTAAACAGCGCACTGATAAAAGATTACATGTAATAGACTTTTTAAGTGATCTGATAATGCATGCATATAAACGTTTTTTTATATCGTCTGTATAATAAATTCAAAGTTTTTTTTTTTTTTTGGTTTCCATCCGGTGTCCGGTACCTTCATAGGGGCCGCCTAAATCCGAATTCGCGCCGGGAAGTCCCACATTGGGGGAGGGGGGTAAAGCGCTCCCTCCATACCCAGGGACTCGAACTCGAGATCGCTGGTTAAGGATGAAAGAGTACTTATTACTCTACCACAACCCTAGTCGGTAAAATAAAAGTTATTACAAAAGTTATAACATATCTCTGCTATAAAACGGAATAAAACATGCTTTTTTTCATGAATGCGTTTTTTTAGACAACTTTGGGCGCAAAAAAAAGGAAATAATAGAAGTTGAAGAAAAGGTAGAAACCTGAAACTGGATGTGGAGGAAGCTGTGTGTTTATAATATCAGCACAAGATTGGTGATGATGACAAAGAAGAGTACCATGGATGATAACAGTAGAGAGTTTTTCTTCTCCATAACCAGCCATCTTTCCCAACTCTCCATTAGAAAGTTCAACTAAAGGGTTGTCTGATAATATGGCCGAATAAATTGGTAAAATAAAAAAGAAAACCACGATGATCCTTAACAATATTATCTTCATGATCTTGTTCTCTAATTTCTGTGTCTGTGTTTATAAAGACTTTGTAGCAACACAATAGATCAAATACATATGGAATGAAGGGACAATGAAAAGCTAGCTACCATTTCCATTATATATAAAAAATCCTTTAGTTTGCATGAAACCCCTTTTCGTCACTTGTTATGACTTTTATAACCTTGAGCTTCATCATCAAGTAAATTTAAGCTTTAAGAGCTATATATTTTGTACTAATAATTGGTCACGTTGGTCCTATTTTATTAGCTAATCATATTCCACACGTACAATTGTAAAGTAATTTAAATTCGATGTACAAGATGCTGTTATTGGTTTAGTTTGGAGGAAAGAGTAGATGAAAAGGAAAGAGGGTATTTTCGTCATTGGAATAATAAAATATGGTTAGGAGGGTACAAAATGAAAAGGTTGAAATGGAAGGTTAACCGTCAAGTTGGTAGCCTAATCTTATCAGCAGCTATATATGCATTAATTCTATAATACTCCCTCCGGTCTACAATACCAATTTGCTTTAGAAATATTAAATTTTAGATAAGAATAATTAGTATGACTAAACTACCCTTAATTAAATGTTGCAGCATAATTATAGTAGCACTTAGTTCTCTTCTCAAATGTGAGGAGTAAATGACTTTTTAGGGATACGTACATAAGGGTAATTTTGGAACAACGAATTGAATTTTTTTTTTGATTATATAAATCGAAACTTATTTTGGATCAAAATAAAAAAGTAAATTGATCACTTATTGTGGATCAGTAATAGTATAATACCAAAAAGAAATATTGAGATATAATATATAGTAATTACGAGCTCTAGAGCCCCACCATTTGTCACTTTGGTTAATTTTGGTAGTGGCAGGCAAGAAAGCAAAATAGAAAGATCGAGTTCCTGAGGCAACTTGTCTAGCCTACTAAAAGAAGTCGTTGGATTTTCTTTATGCAATAAATAATCACACACAAGAGACCATATTTGGTTGAACAAATCACAGAAATAAGTTTTCATGTATTGGTTCTGAGAATTTTTGGTGGAGTTGGTTTTGACCAACTACATACGTATGTTTTTTTTTAATCATCTTCTTTTCATTCTTCCTTTCTTTGTTGACCAAAACTGAGTTGATAATAAGGTTTTACAAAATTTCGTCAAGTCAAAACAATAGATAGAAAATAGGAGTCGAAGTTGCTCAGGCTTGAACTCGTGGAGCGGAATTTTAAAGTTGAATTCTTGAAAAAAGATACAAAATGAAACGGATTAAGAAAAAAATATTGTCACATAAATTAAGATGAAGAGAGTAGCTAGCATCTCCATTAAAAATTATATAAAACTCTTTGTACGTTATATATGTGTTTTTTGTCTCGTTTTTACTTGTATAACCTTGAGGTTGATCAGCAAAACGCAAAATTTAAGCTTCTTAAGAGTATCTTTTCGTAATAATTGTACGTAGTTCATTGGTCCCATTTTAATTAGCTCCTAAGGAAATTTGTAAACTAGTCTTAGGGTACGCGCTTTGCGCGTGTACCCTACTTCACTGAATATATAATTTTAAAAAATAATGTGACTATTATTAAATAAAATATTTGAGTTATTGAACAAAAATCAAAAAAAGGTTAGCTCTTAATAATGAATGTTTATCCAATTTAGCTAGTTCACTAAATATAAAAATCTTGTCCAATAAAAGTCTGTTATGCCATATTCTGATTTATGAGAACTTTGGGAATATATTATGAAATTTATTATATAAGTAACAAATTAATACTATATAATATTGTTGGGATATATACTATTAACCATGGGTTTGGTTTAGATATAGTATTTATTATGAAACAATTGTTTATTCAGTTTTTTTTTTTTTTGGTAATTAATTTCATTTCATTTCAAGAAGGAATTATACAATCATGACTGTTTACATTTCTCAACTCTAACTTTAATCTACTTTCTTCCTTTCTATTACATACAAGTAGGATAGTAATTCATCTCATCTAAACTAACTTGAAGTCGTTGTATACATCTTCCTCTTTCTTGTATTGCTTGAGCTATAGTTCGAACAAGTTCCTGAATAGTCTGCTTCACACCTCTGAAAATTCTGTTGTTCCTTTCCTGCCATACATGGTATCCCGCTCCTGCAAGTATTAGTCGATAAAGTTCTGCTTTTATGCTTCTTCCTTTGTAATATTTGACTGCCCAGTTTAGCTCTTCATTCCATTGCATTGCTTTCCTGCTTATCCCCTGCCATTTCAATAAAACTGTCCACACTTTGGAAGTGTATGGACAAGAAAAGAATAAATGATCAATGGACTCCTCTTCTTTGTTGCATAATTCACATGTGACTTCCTCTACATATCCCATTCCTCTTAGCCTATCTTTGGTCATTAGTTTCCTTTGAGCAGCTAGATAGATAATAAACTTCCACTTTGGAGCTCCCAGATTTCGTTGCATAATCTTCCTCCATGTGACTCGCTCAAAATTTCCTCTCAATTTTGTGTATAGTTGTTTCACTGAAAAGCTCTCCATCTTCTCCATATCGTCTTCCTTATATCCAGCTTCCTCAAAGTATTGACTAGCTTTGAAAATCTTCTGAATTATCCATGAAGCTTGTTTTGCTTCAATATTCCACCCTGCTATCTGTTTCTTGTAATACACATGCGCCCACTGCATCCATAACCTATCTTTCTTTTTGCACAAATTCCACATCAATTTGCAAATTGCAGCTTTATTCCAGGCTTCAACATTTAGCAGATTTAAACCACCAGCTGCCTTTGGTTTGCACAAAGTTTCCCAAGCCACTAGAGCTTTCCTGGATTCTTCTGTTCCCCCAGTCCATAAGAAAGTTCTGCAAACTTTCTCAATTGTGTGGATCAGCTTCTTTGGAAGTACAAAAATCTGTGACCAGTATATTTGTATAGAGAACAAGACACTTTTGATCAACTGAATTCTACCTGCATAGGACAGAAATTTTGTTGTCCAAGACTGAACTCTTCCTAGCATTCTCTCTATTAAAGGCTGGCATTGTACCAAGGATAACCTCTTAGTGCTAAGAGGCACTCCTAGATATCTCACTGGTAGTTCCCCTTTGACAAATCCCAGATCATCTAATATCTGTTGTTGCTGCTCTTCCCTGACTCCTCCAAATATTATAGAACTTTTCTCTCTATTATATATTAACCCTGATGCTTCTGAGAATTGTTGAAAGCATTGAAATACCAACTGTACTGACATCCTGTCTCCCCTACTAAACAGCAATAGGTCATCTGCAAAGCTCAACTGAATAATATTCATCTTGCTGCATTTTGGATGGTAGTTGAAGTCTGGATTCTTTCTGAGAGTCTTTAGCAGTCTTGTTAAGTATTCCATAACTATCACAAAGAGATAAGGTGACAAGGGGTCTCCTTGCCTAAGTCCCTTCTTAGCTTTAAAAGGTTCTGTAGGTGCACCATTGATCAGGATGGAGTAGGATACTGTGGTAGTACATTGCATGATCCACTGTATGAACTTCTCAGGTATTTGCAAGCAAGTTAGGACTTGTTCTAGATATCTCCATTCCACTGAGTCATAAGCTTTCTTCATGTCTATCTTCATCATGCATCTAGGGGATACCCCTTTCCTATTATATCCTTTAACTAATTCATGACTTAGTATTATATTATCATTAATCAGCCTACCAGGAACAAATGCAGCCTGGTTTTTATCCACTATATCATCCATGATATCCTTTAGCCTGTTAGTTAGAACCTTGGATATAATTTTGTATAGAATTGTGCAGCAGGAAATAGGTCTATACTCAGAAATTTTGACAGGATCTTTCACCTTTGGTACGAGGGTAACTGTTGTAACATTGATTGGTTTGCACATTTGAGATTCTTCAAAGAACTCTAGCACTGCATTTGTAATCTCTTCTCCTATCACTGACCAAGCTTTTTTAAAGAAAACTGCATTAAAACCATCACAACCTGGAGCTTTCATATCACTGATGCCTTCCAAAGCTTGATATATTTCCTCCTTAGTCACCTCTGCTACTAGTTGCATCTGTTGTATTCTGTTCACCTTTGGACCATCTTTCATTACTACTGGATTGACTGCTGGTAGTTCATCTGCTGAAGTCCCCAAGAGTTGCTTATAGAAATCTATCACCTCTTCCTCTATGTCCTTCTTTGTGTATGCAATGCTGCCATCACTTTTTATCAATCTTCTAATTTTGTTTTGATTGCATCTACTCTTCATGCTGGCAAAGAAGTAAGCAGTATTTGCATCCCCTAATTGCAACCATTTAATTCTAGACTTCTGCTTCATAATACTCTCCTCTATTTGTGACCATTTTTCCAGTTGTATTTTTGCTTCTTTCTCCTCTTCTATTAGTTGTCTATTTTGCCCCGGGGTCCTCATTTGTTTCTGCAATTCTATCAATTTCTGTCTACATTCCTTGGCCTTCACCTCTGCACCATTATATTCTGCCTTGTTCAACTCCTTCATTGCTTGCTTTACTTTCTTCATTTTTTGCCATACACTCCACATTTTCTGTCTTCCATAAGATTGACTCCAAACTTCATCAACAGTCTTCAGAAAATTGTCATGCTCAGCTAGATGATTTAGGAATTTAAAAGGCTTTGCATTCTTTTCTTCCTGTACCTCCAGTTCAATACTCATAGGAGAATGGTCTGAACTATGAGGATCCATAACCCACACTTCATTCTGTACCATTGAGAGTAACCAATCTGTATTAACAATTGCCCTATCAATCTTACTATAAGTGCTCCCATTAGTCCATGTATACCTTCTTCCACTATTTTTTAATTCAGCTAACCCATTATTTATCATGAAATCATTGCAATCTCTAACCTCAGCTTCTTGTACAGGACTTCCCACTGGTCTATCTTCCCCCTTCCTTATAGCATTGTAATCACCCATGGCTAACCAAGCTCCTTGCTGTGTTGAATGAATACTTTCTAATGCAGACCATAGGCTTTTCCTTTGCTCTACACTATGCAATCCATATACTGCAGTAAAGTTAATCTGAGTATCTAGTCTCTTCACATATATTCTGGAATGGATCAGTTGTTCAGTTTTACACACCTCTTTACATTCTATTTCGTTGGGATCCCATGCTATCCATATTCTCCCTTTACTACTCTGCTCATAGTTATCTATATACTACCATCCTGGAGCTATTCTCCTAATAACTT